TGATAAACTCTGATAACTAAGAGGCTGATACAGATCCCTCGACCGTGGCTCAGCCTGGGCTGCCCTCTCACAGGCTGCCTTGGCACCATGCAGGGAGCCATCTCTGAAGTTGTGCAAGCAGTTGGTGAGCTGCTTGCACACCTTTGCAGCAGCATTTGAGGTGTGGAAGTCTGAGTAGTGAGGACAGGAGTGACAGCAGTTTTGTTTACTTAGCTACAAACTGCAGGCACTGAAGCAGGAGCAACAAAAGCTCAAAGAACAAGAACAAGGAGAAACAGATGGTTCCAGAGAGGCCTGTGAGACAGTATCAGATGTTTCCTCTAATGCTTTTAAGTGGAATTATACAAATCAGATTGAAACTGTTTTATAGAACCCCCAAATGACAATATGTTTACAAAGAAGAGGAATGTCATAAAATCATTGCCATCTATATGGAAAAAAGGTATATATTTCTTATGCCACAAAAGTGCAGCTATGTTTCTTGACACTTTTAGCAAGTGTAATTTGTATATGAGTAAACACTATATATTGTTAACCTCATCTTTAGGACTCTGTCCAGGAGTTAGAAAATGGGTGTCCTCTGATGTGATAAACAGCCACATGAAAAATTACCCCATTTTTGTCTTCCTCTCCCTCACTTCTTTCAGGTCCTCTACTCTCCAGGGTGTCCAGCGCTTCATAGGGTGCTTAAGGTCCTCTAACAACAAAAACATTTCCTATAATGATTCACACTAGTATTTTACTGACTTCCTGCTTTCCACCTGCAGGAGCTCTTGCATTTTAAATGAGAATGTTGTTTATAGGAACAATGCCTAAACAATAGAAATAGGTCTCAAATCATAGCATTTCAGGTATAAAGTCACCTGTCTTATTTATGTTTGAGGGCAGAGGAAGCCGACCGTCACATCACTTATACTGACTATTTTAGTAGAATAGGTGACTATTCTACTTAAAATTCAGGCATCTTATACTGTACACATAGCATTATCTTTTCTATTAACTTCATTATTACTATGAGCTGGGTTCAAGACTAAATTAGGCTAATATAAATCTCAGCTGGTGGTTGACTATAGTGCATACTTTGTAGATTCATCCCCTAATGAGTGAGATCTGGTGTGATTTGTCTGGAAATATGACTTTGTGCACTTCTTCCATTAGCCTTCATTTTCCTACTCATCAGATTTGGCAGATAATTTTGCAGTCTGCTTTAATCACTTTAGGGTGAGCTCTCAGCACTGAGCAATGCCTTTATGCCTTAACAGCTGCAGGATTCCATGGCCCACAGAGATACATGTGAGGGAAATCTGACTCGGTTTATTTGAAAAATAACCTTTCTGATATACAAAATTGATGTAACTCTACTCACACCAGGAACCAGAGGCAAAATTAATGACAAATTACCTCTCAGCTTTTATTTCTATTTGCCTATGCCTGAATATTCAGAGACATTTAACAATTGTTTTGAGCTGAATAGATCAGGGGGAGGTTGAGGATGCCCTGTACTTTTCAAGGGGATAAGAAAATCTGGTTTGGAAGAGTAGTGACAGGACTTTTGCCAGATGAATTACCTCTGGGGCTGAGGCTGGGGTGTGAGGTACCAGAAGGGGTAAGATGAAGATGGGGAAGTTAGAATTGCCTTGGGGATTAACTTTCCCTGTGAGCTGTGCCTTCAGCCAACTGGCACCAGCCCTGAGCCATGTGAATAAGAGTCAGATCCTTAGTCACTCTGTGCATCAATTTTCTTTCTTTTTTTTTTCTTTTCTACTATAGTTTATTAGAAGGTATTGAATATAGTTGCCTGTGCTATATAGTAAGACCTTGTTTATTTTATATACAGACTTGTCTTTCTCTGTCTCTGTCTTTTTCTATCTGACTTCCTTCACTTAGTATGATAATCTCTAGGTCCATCCATATTGCTGCAAATGGCATTGTTTCATTCTTTTTTGTGGCTGAATAGTATTCCATTGTATATATATATGCCACATCTTCTGTATCTATTCATTTTGGGTGGACATTTAGGTTGCTTCTGTGTCTTGGCTATTGTAAATAGTGCTGCTGTGAATATTGGGTTTCATGTATCTTTTTGAACTAGACTTTTCTCTGGATGTATACCCAGGGATGGGATTGATGGATCATATGGTAACTGTACTTTTAGTTTTTTAAGGAACCTCCATACTGTTCTCCATAGTGGCTGCACCAATTTACATTCCCACCAACAGTGTGGAGGGTTCCCTTTTCTCCACACCCTCTCCAGCATTTATTATTGGTAGAATTTTTGATGATGGCCATGCTGACTGGTGTGAGGTGATACCTCTCTGTAGTTTTGATTTGCATTTCTCTAATAATTAGCAATGTTGAGCGTCTTTTCATGTGCTTATTGGCCACTTGTATGTCTTCTTTGGAGAAATGCCTATTTAGGTCTTCTGCCTATTTTTTGATTGGGTTGTTTGTTTTTTTTATTATTGAGTTATATGATGTTTGTATATTTTGGAAATTAAGTCCCTGCTGGTTGCATCATTTGCAAATATTTCCTCTCAGTTTTTTAAGTTATCTTTTCATTTTGTTTAGGGTTTCCTTTGCTGTGCAAAAGCTTGTAAGTTTGATTAGGTCCTATGTGTTTATTTTTGCTTTTCTGTCTTTTGCCTTGGGAGACTGACCTAAGAAAACATTGATATATGATTTATGTCATAGAATGTTTTGCCTATATTCTCTTCTAGGAGTTTTATGGGGTCATGTCTTATATTTAAGTCTTTAAGCCATTTTGAATTATTTTTGTGTAGAGTGTGAGGGAGTGTTCTAACTTCATTGATTTACATGTGGCTGTCCAGCTTGCCTAATACCACTTGTTGAAGAGACTGTCTTCTCTCCATTGTATACTCTTGCCTCCTTTGTCAAAGATTAATTGACCATAGGTGTGTGGGTTTATTTCTGGGCTCTCTATTCTGTTTCATTTATCCTCTCCATATGTCAGTTTTTGTGCCAATACCACACGCTTGATTACTGTAGTTTTGTAGTATTGTCTGAAGTATGGGAGTGTTAATGCCTCCAGCTTAGTTCTTTTTCCTCAGGATTGCTTTGGCAATTCTGGTTGTTTTATGGTTCCATATACATTTTAGGCTTATTTGTTCTAGTTCTGTGATAAATGTCATGGGTAATTTGACAGAAATCATATTAAATCTCTAGATTGCTTTGGGTAGTATGGAAAATTTAACAATATTAATTCTTCCAATCTAAGAGCATGGGGCTATCTTTCCATCTCTTCTTAAATCTTCTTCAATTTCCTTTATCAATGTTTTATAGTTCTCAGCATATAAGTCTTTCACCTCCTTGGTCAGGTATATTCCTAAGTATTTTATTCTTTTTGATGTAATAGTAAATGGAATTGTTTCCTTAATTTCTCTTTCTGATAGTTCATTGTTAGTGTATAGAAATGCAACAAATTATTGTATATTAATTTTATATCCTCAAATTTAGTGAATTAATTGATGAGCTCTAATAGTTTTCTGGTGGTGTCTTTAGGATTTTCTACATACAATATCATGTCATTTGCAAACAGTGACAGTTTTACTTCTTCCTTTCCAATTTGTATTCCTTTTGTTTCCTTTTCTTGTCTGATTGCTGTAGCTAGGACTTCCAATACGATGTTGAATGAAAGTGGTGAGAGTGGGAATCCTTGTCTTGTTCCTGATCTAGAGGAAATGCTTTCAGCTTTTCATTATTGAGTATGATGTTAGTTGTGGGTTTGTCATATATGACCTTTATTATGTTGAGTATGTTCCCCCTATTCTCACTTTTTGGAGAGTTTTTATCATGAATGGATGATGAATTTTGTCAAAAGCTTTTTTTGCCTTTATTGAGAAGAACTTATGGTTTTTATTCTTCAGTTTGTTAATGTGGTTTATCATATTGATTGATTTATGGATATTGAAAAATCCTTGCATCCCTGGGATAAATCACACTTGATCATGGTGTATGATCCTTTTTATGCATTACTGGATTCTTTTTGCTGATATTTTATGGGGATTTTTACATCTATACTCATCAGTGATATTGGCCCGTAATTTTCCTTTTTTCATGGTATCACTGCCTGGTTTTGGTGTCAGGGTGATGCTGGCCTTGCAGAATGAGTTCAGGAACATTTTTCCTCTGCAATATTTTGGAAGAATAGGTGTTAACTCTTCTATAAATATTTGGTAGAATTCACCTGTGAAGCCATCTGGTAATGGACTTTTGTTTATTGGGAGTTTTAAAAAAAATATCAATTCAATTTCTTTCCTGGTAATTGGTCTCTTCATATTTGCTATTTCTTCCTGGTTCAATCTTGGGAGGTTGTATATTTCTAGGAATTTGTCCATTTCTTCTAGGTTGTGCATTTTATTGACATATAGTTGTTTGTAGCAGTCTCATGGAATACCTTTTTCCATTCCCTCACTTTCAATCTGTGTGTGTTTTTAGATCTGAATTGAGTCTCTTGTAGGCAGCATATTTGCAGGTCTTGTTTTTGTATCCATTCATATGCCTCAGTTTTCTTATCCTAAAAGGGGACTTTCTCTTAAGATTAATGTTAAAGAGAAAAATAAGGATTCAGAACTCCCCAGAATGTGTCACTTTTGTATGAGGATTATTTTGTGCTAAAGGCAATTGAGACCCTGTGGGTTCAAGAGAAACTGCTGCCCTACCCTTAACTACTTAGGATAATTTAAATTGGTGATTTTTCCCTGAACAGACTTATTACTGGAGATAAGTTTTATCTAAGTGGCCCCATCTATATGGCAGGGCAGACATCTAAGTACCAAATATCTGCTCTTCTTATCATCCTATGAATGACCCTCCTGTCCTTGGAAGCCCCAGGCCCCTATCTCATTCCTTAGCTTGGATAGCTTATATTCCTAATTTTATCTTTCTGTTTCTGAACCTCTCATGTATGTGGTGTTTTGGTATATATGAAATTAAATTTGATTTTCTTCTGTTAATATGTCTTATGTTGATTTAATTCTTAGACCAACCAGGAGAACCTGCAAGGGTAGAGGAAATTCTTCCTGACAGAAGCACTCATTCCATGAGTGTGAAATTTCAGCACACTGGACACCAGAGACAAGGAGTTGTTGACATTATTTCTATCTCTGTCTATAAATCCTCTTCCTTCTTTTCCAGTTTGTGTCCTTTTCAGTCAAATTTATATCCTGAGTTATCTTTAAGCTGGGATTAGCATAACTCACTGTTCTTTGAAATACTCACTAAATAATAGACACTCTGGAGCATCTCTTGATGTTTAATAGATGTCAAATACTGGTAATATGCTGTTATTAAAAATGTTAGTTTCCTGAAGTGACTCAGAGTTGACTTATTTTTCCTTCTGTACAGAGAAATCTATTCTGTACAATGACACCCTAGAATGATGTGGAGTGGTGAATAATTTAATAACTGTAAAAAAGCATTTTGCTCTTCAACAAAGCATATAAAAGTGGAATAACCTTTTAGTTCAAAATAAACTTTATCTTATTATTAATTTTTCCCATTTGTTCTTACACTTTCAAAAGTCAGAAAGAAAAGTGAAATTCTCTTGACCATTGTGTAAAAACCAGAGTTTATTAAAAAAAAATCTGTCCTATCTACCTACCTATATCCAGTTTGCTCCACAGAACAATAGCTGGCTTTACCTAGAGTTGAGCTCTGAATTTTACTCATGGCTATGTTAAGGACATATGATAATCTGTTCTTATCAGGTATTAACATTGGAGTGACACCTGGTGAAAAATTGCTATAATTGGTTATCTGAACTGCTGAAAAGAAAATCACAGTGCCCTAGTGGCATCACTCATGCTAGAAGCCCATGATATCAAACCTAGATTTAATACCTGATCTAACTGCAGTTTCAGCCTCTCACAGAAATTTAATCTTAATCTACCAGTCTGGAATTTTCTGGTCAGGCATCAGTAAGGTAGTCTGTCACAGGGACCCTCTCCATCCCCAAGAGGAAGAAGAGGCATCAGTATGAGAAAACCCTTGCTCTTCCCTCCCTTCACAAAAGATGTCCTGGTCTAAAAAGAATAATTTCTTTTGTTTTTCTAGTAGCTCCCTTGCCCCACCATTTTTCCTATAAAAGCCTTCCATTTTGTACAACTCCTCTGATCACTGTTCTAGTTGCTAGATAGGATGCTGCCCTATTCATGAATAGTTGAATAAAGCAATTAGATTTTCAAATTTACTTGGCTGAATTTTGGTTTTTAATAGAACCAATTGAAGGTATTTCTACAAGGAAGGGTATTATAAGGTTAAACCTGAAGAATACATATGGCTTTATGATTATTGTGGTAGTATGGAATTCTACATTTAGAACATATATAATAGTTAATTGAAAGATTTAAGTTTTGGTTTTTCTCACTCTCTCCAGAAGCAATTTGGAGAACTGAGGAAAGCTCAGAATTCATGTCAGTGAATCTAGATATGAGTCTTGGTATTATGATTTACTCACTGTATAAATGAGAACAGAATAGGTTTTGTCCTCTGTAACTTGAGATAAAATGAGTTTATTCTATCCTTCTTATCTTTCAAGGCTATTGTGATGTTCAAAAAAGATAACATGATATTCTTTGTAAATTGCAAAGGATTTTGCAAATGACAGATTCTATTTATCAATGGTATAAGTGTAAGAAAATAATAGGCTTATGATGGAAATAAAAAAATAAGGAATGAGGGTAAACAAAATGTATTTTTGAGTGGCCACTGTGTAACAGACATTTTAGAATTTTTTAGCACATTTAATTCTCCCTACACTGTAAATGAAATGATAAGCAGTCTCTCAGTTTCCAAATGAGAAAACCAAAGTCAGAGAGTTTATGTAACTTGCTTAAGATGACACAGCTAGTAAGCACTTGAGTTAGTACTTCTTTCATTAAACAATCTGTTTTTCTGGACAGAACATTTTTCCTCTTTCAAACATAGCTCCATGATGGAAAGGCTGATATGCATATTTGTTTACTCATTTGTTTGTTCAATAAATATTTATTCTCCGTTAAAACTAATAAGTCATTGACCTGGTTCCTTCGAGGAAACAAATGAATAAAACACAGTCCTTGTGCATATGGAGTCAAAGTCCACGGTCTCCAGTCAATTCTTGGCTTTCCTTGCTAATGGTAGGATGAAAAATAATTAAAAACACCGGGAAGGGGCTTCCCTGGTGGCGCAGTGGTTGAGAGTCCTCCTGCCGATGCAGGGGACGCGGGTTCGTGCCCCGGTCCAGGAAGATCCCACATGCCGCGGAGCGGCTGGGCCCGTGAGCCATGGCCACTGAGCCTGCGCGTCCGGAGCCTGTGCTCCGCAACGGGAGAGGCCACAACAGTGAGAGGCCCGCGTAGTGCAAAAACAAACAAACAAACAAACAAAAAACCACTGGGAAATAGAAGCTCTGTAAGCGGATTCTTAGAGGAGGATGAAGTTCTTGAATTTGCTTCAGTTTCTAGTCAGTTAAGAGCCAAGCAGAAACCTTTGTTGTTGTCTGGCTGAAAATGGAAAATAAATCGCCATATTCTCTTTGTTTGGTAACTGGAGTATTAAGACTGTAAACAGAGCTGTTGAGAGTGCTGGCTGTGGATTCAGAAAGCTCTGTGTTCAACTCCAAGCTCCACTTACCAATTGTACACTTGGAAATTCACTTCTCTTCTCCAAGCTTCAACTTCATTAAGCATAAAATGTACTTTTAACTGTAAAATAAGAATAAACCCATGCCCCTAAAGTTGTTAAGATGATTAAATGAATGAGTGTGTGTGTGGGGAGGTTTGTGTGTGTGTGTGCATGCACGCCTGTGTCTGCATGGTGTGTAATGTATGTTAAGTACTCAGCATGATGCCTGTTGTTTGGTAAGCAGTCCTCAAATGATAGCAATTATAATTATTTTGTCTTTGAGGACACAAATCATTACTCTGAATGTCAGTTTTGATTGCAAAGGGCAGCTGATCCAGATAACCTGCTTAGCACATTGGGCTAAATATAGGAATATTTTAGGTTTATTTATATTGGATTGTTCGCTTTATTATTTTTAATGAAATTCCTGGTAAGAGTTTTCTTTGCTTTGTTTTCATAAGAAGGTGCGACAGAAAGGAAATTGAGGCTAATTAAGGGTTTGAATTACTTGACCTACAGGAAATTCTGTTTTATGGCCTTTGCCTTTAAAATACTCCCTTTTTCCTGACAACTTCATTTTAATTACAGATGTTACACTCATGGAATGCTTACAGTTCATCAGACCATATTCTAAGTGATTTTCATGAATTAATCTATTCTTCTAAAACCTAATGTGGTAGATACAACTCTTGGGCATCTATTTGGCCTGCTTGTACCCAGAGGAACATGAACCAAAAGAACAACAAATGCTAAATGGGTCTGTTGCTTTAGAAGAGCTGGAGGAGGATCCAATTTACAAATGAGGACGCTGAGGCACAAAAATATTAACTCACCTGTCCAAGCATGTAAGTGGTAAGGCTTAGAATGAACATAACCAGCCTGGCTCCCAAGCCCATATTCACAACACCTCCAGCACAAGCCTCCCATATAGCCAACTAATTCTATATGTTTTCTGGAATACTGAAGTCATGACTTGTTCCAGTAAGGAAACACACAGGCACAGTGATTAGTGAGCCTCACTGGGCCTATGACAAACCAAACATTTTCTTCACTGCATTACAATGAAGGAAGAAGACAACTAGACTGGGAATTAGCGTCCATACACTCTGGCTTAGGGCCTAATACCAGTTTGCTGTGTGACCTAAATAAGTGACTCTCTAATCCTCAGTTTCCTCATCTATAAAATGAGGTATTGGGCAAGATGATCTCAAGGGACTCTCCCAGCTCTAAAAGTCAGTGTTGTTTAAATCTGTGATGCATAAAATTAAGCAAAATTCCATGTTAGAACTACTGTAGGTTAAGGTGATTATTATAAATGGCCACTGATAAAATAGCTTATCGAAGCAGGAGGGGGAGCCAGGTAATTGTTTTGTTTTGTTTTTCTCCTTCATAGTCTAGCCCAGATCTATTCATTGTTAGCTGTTCTCTAAGAAAGCAAAGAGCTGGGTCCTTGCTCTTTGCGGCATAGAGCAGGCAAGTTTTGATGGTGCTGGAATGAAGGTGGGAGGGCACAGAAGAATGGGGGCTTAGAGAGCTTCCAGGGAGAGATGGCAGGGGCAGGTGCCCAGGGGTTGATGGTGAAAAAAGTGGTGGTTATGCTCTGCTCTTCACCTCTTCTCAGAATATCATTCCTTTGGTGGAGCTTTTCTTTCTCCAATTGACTCCCATGTCTGGGAGCTGACATGTCACTTAAATTGGCCAATCAGAATATTTCCTTGTTTTTTTTTTTTTTTTTTTTAAGTATTACTAAGAGGGAGAAGGGGTAACTCCTCTCTGGTGGGGTATGAGGCACAGGACCTATCAGCAAGCTTATTCTCCAATTTGTGGAGGAAGTGAGTTTGAGAGATTAGTACTGATCTTCAGATAGAAGCATATCCTGAAAATGTTAGAATCTCTTGTTCCATTTGTTCCACAAGCCAAGCTCACACATCTATATATTTTTTTTTAATGTAACCATTTCTTGGACTCCCTAGGCTAAAAAAAACCTCTCTCTGTCTAAGCTGGCTTAAGTTGGATTTCTATAACTTGAAAAAAGGAAATAACAAGAACAATTCAATTCACCGATAATTGAATTCAAATCAATTAGACTCTGAATCCAGAATCCATGAGCCAACAAGAAGGATGTAAAATTTTACTGGTTGTTGCATTTTTCTGTTGTAAAGATGCATGGCTTTCATCAGCTTGTCCAAGGGGGGTGTGAATGAAGAAAGGATAAGAACAATTGCCTGAGGGAGTTTACAGGCAGGAGTGAGATAACTTCTGCAGGAGTTCAATAAACAGCCATTGAATGAATTCAGTACACATCAAGTAAGTGCCTGCTGAGCTTCAGATATGGCACTAGGTTCATGAAGGACACAAAATGAATGGCATGGCCTCAAACAGAGCACATTTTGTAGGCGAGACATATGGCTAAAGTGAAACAGAGTGGAGTAATTTTTGTAACAGAGGCACACATTGTGGTCCCCTGCGGGAAGCAGGAGCTGATGGCTGATTCTCACTAGGGGATCAGGAAAGCTGAGCAAAGTGCTTTGCACACACGTGAGTCTCCAAAGCTTTGGCACGACATCATTCACCTGCATAGCGTGGTGGCTGGGAACTCAGACCCTGGCATCAGCCAACTGGCTTCAAATCCTCCCCAATCTACTCACTAGCTGTGAGGCCTTGAACCTGGCATTGATGAGCTTGAATAATAATAGTAGCTACCT